GTAATAAAAAACTACATCTTTTTAATCTATTCCTTGGGTGATGGGCATTTGGTTGTTTCCAAGATTTAGCTATTACAAATTGTGCTGCTATAAATATGGGTGCACATATATCACTGTGCTATGATGGTTTTAATTCTTATGGGAAGATATTCAGAAGGGGGATAGCTGGGCAGAATGGGATCTCTAATCCTACTTTCATAAGGAATCTCTACACTGATTTTGACAGTAGCTGCACCAGTCTACACTCCCACCAACAGTGGAGAACAGTTCCTTTTTCCCCACAGCCCCTCCAGCATTTGTTATCAGTTGACCTTGTAATGATAGCCATTCTTAGGGAATGGGGTGAGACTGAATCTCAGTGTTTTAATTGGCACTTTTCAAAGGACCAATGATGTTGAACATTTTTTCATGCATTTATTTGCCATTTTTATGTCTTCATCTGCAAAGAATGTATTTATCTCAGATGCCCATATTTGTATTGGGTCTTTGAATTTGAGGAGTCTGATTTTTTTTTCAGTTCTTTATATGTTCTAGATATAAGTCCTTTGTCTGAGGAAAAGCTGGCTATAATTTTTCCCACTGTATAGGTTGTCTTTTCAGTCTTTTCATGATTTCCTTTATTGTGCTAAAACTTTTTAATAAGGTGAGATCCCATTTGTTGAGTCTTTATAATATTTCCCTTGCAATCAGGGTCTTGTTCATGAAGTCTCTGCCTACACCTATGCCTTCCAGATTTCTACTTACTTTCTCATCCAATAAATTTAGTGTTTCTAAATTAATATTTAGATCTGTGATCCATTTTGACTTTAGTTTAGTGCATGGTGATAGACATGGGTTTAGTTTTAGTTTTTGGCATGTGGAGAGCCAGTTTTTCCAGCACTATTTATTAAAGAGACTTTCTTCCAGTGACAATGTTTGACCCCTTTGTCAAAGATAAGGTGGTTGAGTGGGTCTGTAGTTGTGTCTGCATCTTCTGTTCTACTCCACTGATCCTCAAGCTCATTTGGGGTTTTTTTTTGCCAATACCATGCTGATTTTATCACAGTAGCTTTGTAGTATAATTTCAGGTCTGGGATTATGATGCCCCCTGACATGTGTTTGTTGCCCAGAATTGCTTTTCCTAGTCTAGGTCTCTTCTGGTTCCAAATGAATTTTAGGAATGTTTTCTCTAGATTTGTGAGGTATGCTGATGTTATAAGAATTACATTAAATCTGTATAGTAGTTTGGGGAGCATGGCCATTTTCACTGTTCGTTCTTCCTATCCAAGAGCAAGGGATATATTTCCATTTTCTGATATCCTCTTCAATCTCCTTTTCTCTTTTGTTCTTTTTCTTTTTTTTTTCTTTTTGGTACCAGGAATCAAACTCAGGACCTTGCACTTGTCAGGCAGGCGCTGTGCTGCTAAGCTATATCCCTGGCCCTTGAACTTTTCTTTCTTAGGCTACTGTAATTTGCACTGTACACATCTTTTACATCCTTTGCTGAATTGATGCCTAAGTATTTCATTTTTTTAGATGCTATTGTGAAGGGTGTGCTTTCCCTAATTTCTCTCTCTATGAGTTTGTTGCTTGTGTACAAAAATGCCATTGATTTTTGAGCATTGACTTTGTATCCTGCTACACTACTGAACAAAGTCCAACACACATTAATGATAAAAACCCTACAGAAAATTGGAATCAATAATCTTTACCTCAAGCTTATAAAAGCCATCTATTACAAACCAACAGCTAACATCATATTAAATGGTCAAAAACGGAAAGCTTTCACTCTAAAATCAGGAACAAGAAAATGATATTCATTATAACACTCCTGTTCAATATAGTTCTAGAAACATTAGCCAAAGCAATTAAACAAAGGAAAAAATATAGTTGAATATCATTATTCACAGATGACATGGTATTCTACATAGAAGACCCCAAAAACTCCACCAAAAACTGGAAAATTAGATAATCTCTTGAAACATCTGTTTCTTCATTTGTAGGATGGAGATTATAATCAGATCTGCCTCATGAGGACCTCGTGAGAATTAGACTGACGCTGTGGGGAGGGGGGTTCTGAGCTCAGAGCACCAGGCAGGGACAAGCGTCTAGGTGAGTCCGTGCTCACTGTGGCCTTGGCTGTGCCTCATGTTGCTGCCACTGCTGCTGAGGTCAGACTTTTTCCTTCTTTAGCTGAATGAAGCAAGATGTGTATTCGTGGAAGGTGGTACCAAAATGTCTACCATCTAAAGGTTAAAAGAAAAGGGTAGGTGGTTCATCACAACCTTCATTCTGTTTTGCCCTGAGAGTCCACTGCTTATTCCTTCCTTGAAACAATAGCATTTTCACTCCAACAGTGAAAAGCTATGTCAGGTTTAGTGGGAAGTACAGCAATCAGGCAAGCCACAGCCTCGTGTGTGGGGCCTGTGCTATCTGTCCAGCCACAATACAATCACATGGCAAAAGCTCCAGCTATCTAAATAGGGCATCTTTCAGAAAGAGATTAAGAAGTAACAGAACCAAATATTAGAACATTTGGGCCTCTCTTACCACTTTAAATTAGGACTGTAGCCTTGAAATTTAGCTTCATCGAAGAAGTACAATTAGAGTTAGAGCATCTAAAGTGTAAGGTAGAAACCGGATTTTAGATTTCATTCCATTTCAATGTTTTTCCCAAAAAACAAGCTTCAAAAATCCCCACAGAGGCCAGGTATGGTGGCGCACACCTGTAATCCCAGCACTCGGGAGGCTGAGGCAGGAGGATCACTGCAAGTTTGAGGAAAGCCTGGACTACAAAGCTAGTTGAAGGCCAGCCTGAACTGTATAGTGAAACCTTGTCTCAAAAAAAAACAACAAAACCACCACAAAGAATTCTTGAAAAAGCAATGCAACTAAGGCTTAATTTTTCTCCAAACTTTTAAACGTTTCTTCTTCAAGAAAGATTATTCAGATTTAGCACCCTCTTTAGTACCTCAAGCTGCCTGACAATCAAAATTCTTCTTAATAGTTTTTTGGAAACAATATTGTTGAAAGCCAGCACTTTTTTCTCCCACCCCACACTGTCTAAAGTCATTATGTTTTAAGGTTGGAACAAAATCCAGGAGAACCGACATGTCAGTTCCAGCCACTCACCCAGCAGCAGCAATCAAGAGGTTCTCTGCCAAAACTATGTAAGATCTTACCCCAAAACAATATCCGACTGACAGACAGGGAATAGAATTTGGCATGTGCCTGCAAAACTAAGAGACCAATCCCGTTTTCAGATGTGCCTAGAGTTGCATAGAGAATTCTCCCCACATGCTTAACCCCAGCAATGGAAACCTCTTCAGGTTACACGGGAGTCATTATTCTTATCCTTTTAGAACATGTTGCTTTCTCTGAAATATGAATTGCATAAACCTACCATAATGAAATTTCCCTGGTAGAAAATGAATGACAATTTGAATCTCGTTTCCTTCTTGTTCTATTTACTGCAGGATATGTTTACCCAGATAAATATTTCTCCCAAACTATTATTCTCAAACTGATCATGCCATTTTCCATTATAAAACCAAATGCTTGAGGAAAATAGCTTTCATTTAAACTTCCTGGGAGAGGTCTGTACAGATCTAGATTTAAAATGACTGGTGCTAGTTATCCTATTCAACTAGTATTACAAATAAACAAATATTTTCCTTCCTACCCACCATCTTTGAAGTTCCTTTGGCCTGTCTGAATTTTTTATAGAATAGTTCATTTCTAGATATATTGTATTCAAAAGTTCCAGGCAATTAGTCTTTTCATTAACCCTCTTCCCTACAAAGTATAGTTCTGGCTTGTTAAAAGAGGCTTTCTCAATGGATTGTTGTTTAAAACACCCAATCAAGTAAGGGAAAATGATAGGTAACTAAGGAGCTCTTACAGTATCAAAAAGTAACAGAATGAGATCTTTACCAGAAGCAAAAATGTCTCATCATATGTCTTCATAAAAACTAATGAGAATTTGCATTGACTTTTATTTACATTTATAGCAAACGAGCCACTTGTCCTGGCCTTGCCTGGAACAAACTGAATTTGATATCCATGAAATAAGTTAGGAAGTTCCTCTTCTCTTCAGATAAAGACTGGCTATGTGCCGTCAGGCCTGGAAAGGACACGTGCATATAGGCCCTTTTGTATTTTCCCGTCAGTACAAAGGGCAAGGGGTCTAGAATCAATGAGGCTGCCTCCTTTGAAATCCCAACTCCCTCACCTAGAGTGTGTCTGTGCCTCTGTCTCCTCCCTGCTGCGTTTCTGTGCCTTGCAGAGACTGTCCCATGCCTGGTGAGGAGGTGGGACCCCTGGGGATATCCCATAAAATGCTTAAGGGCAAGGCTGCAAGTCTTTGTTCTGCAATTTATTTTGAGGGGAAGCAATTCTCCCACCGAATGCAATGGCAGACAGAAATCCCAGAAGTCTCACATCTTTATAATAATCTTCACTCTGGTGGGGAATGAATTAAATCTAGTACCCAATACCCACATATGACAATGCTATGTGCTATTCTAGAAAAAAAAACTTCTGCCTTACAATGACATCTGCTGGGAGTTCCTAGCACTGGAAGAAAAACAAAAAGGCCAAAATATCTGATGCTAAACGAATTACCCAGGAAGCAGAGAACTTGGTATAAGAATCAATCTCTCAAACGATTTTTCAAACTAGGAGCTATATTGTTAAAGACATAAACTAACCCTGAAGTGAACCACTAACAAATACCAGATGCTGCGCTGTAATACCAAATCTAAAACATGAATTAACAGTCTAATCCATTGTTACCCAGCTTTTAAGCATTCCATCTAAAAGGGTGAAATATATGACATTCTTCTGGAATACACTTCTACTTCAGAGAGTTTCTCCGTGCTGAAAAGTTGTCATTTCCTTTCAGAAATAGTATTTATTAAGCTTGACTGGATTGTCCTCCGTATGTCAAGGAATATTGCTGTAAGTTCTGTCAGACATCTTTGAGGACTCGTTGGTAAACAGCATTTTCCTTCCAACCCCAGGGTTAGATTCCAGTTGACTGTGACCGAGGCCTGGAGTAGAAAGACCACCTGGGATGGATCTTCCTGCAAGCCACCGACACTGCCAGTGTTTGCAGCTTTAAGAAGAGACAATGAAACTTAAATCAAGAGGAGTATGCTTGTTTCCCTGTCAAAGTAACATAATCTACAAAAAAAATTCTGGCTCCCCCATGGAGAAGCAGACACCTGAAGAAAGAAGGAATCGTAGGAGTTCACAGCAGAATTAGAAACACAGAAGGTAGTATAACATGAAAAAGTCATGATTTTTCTTAATTGCCCCCATAAGCATGTGTTAGTAGGAGACATAATTAACCTAAGAATTAGCACAAAGTTGGATTTCCAGCTGTCACTCAGTCAAAAGATTTTGGTAATGAAATAGAGGCTTTCACAGGTCATTACAGAAAAGTCATGTTGCCATTATTTTATTTCAAAGCCTGACAGACAAATGATCTTTCTCTTATTATTGTTCATAAAGATAAGGGAAATGAGTCTTTAACACGTGATGGGAGAGAGAGATTTAAACTAAGAAACTCATGAGCTTAATAATAATCTCTAGGAATTTCCAAAAAGAATAATAGAAAGCTATAGGGAAGATTCGACAGGCCTTCTAAGAAAAAGCCTCCAATCTATAAAACACAAAACAAAGAACAAATTTCCATATTCCTTCAGCCCAAAGAGCTAACCAAGCACTGCCCAGTTGCTCAAAGCTGCCCACCTTCAGTTTCAGTTTTGTATTTAGGGGCTGAATATAGAATATAATGAAGTCTAAAGCCTTTCCTTCCGGTAGGGCTCAGGCTAGTTCTAAACAGAGGCTTGGTCAACAGAAAGGATCGGTAAGTAGTCGATATCCCTTTCTTACTTTCATAAATTGAGCTCATTTTGAGGCAAACCCCCACCAAAGTAAAGTCTGTGTCCAGCTTCATTCCTGGTGCCTACTCATGAACAGAAAATGTCTGAATAATCTGCAGAGGAAAGAGATTTAATTTAGGCTGTGCCACAGGTAAGCTTAATTGTCAGCTTGGTTGGCTTGGGTACTGCCTAGTGGATTAATGAGGCACACTTCTGGTTGTATCTGGGTGGGTCATGGAGGCGTGAAGTTGAGTACTCCTAGGTGCAATGAACCCTGCTCTCCCACACCTTTCCACCAAGTTCCTGCCTTGGAGCCAACCAACTATGGAGCTGAATTAAACCTTTCCTCCTATAAATTGTGGGTGTCAGGTGTTTTGTCCAGCAATGGAAAAGCTGACTAGCACAGGCTACTTCTATTGGCATCTGCCAAATCTGTCCCAACCATGCTTCAAGATCAGCTTCCATCTCTTCACTCTGCTTGTTGTCACAGCCTCACCTCCCAATCTTCTGCATATCCTCCCAAAATAAGTAATCACTTTACTCATGTGCACACACAAAACCATTGCAGTGGTTCGTGATTGCTTGCAACTTCAAGCCATGCCCTAGACCCCCAGTCTACCCTGTGCAATTTTATCCTCTATTATTTTCCTCTCCATACACTTTGCTTTGTTAACACACCGTCCTACTACCATGACATTCTAGATCCCATCTTACTCACTCCACTCATATTGTCCTCTTCACCTGGAATGCTCTGGGTCCTACCCCACTACCCATTTAGATCCTGCCCGTACTGCATGATCTGCGTTAAACAGTATCTGAAAGCTTCTATCTTCTCCAAGTGTTAAATTTCTCTTCCACCCCTTTCAAAGGATTTATGAACATTACTAAATATCTATTGATCAAATACAAAACATACTCATAACATAGTGAAGTGAATAGCTATAGTCATTGTAATTAAACCACACAGTTTTTGTATAGGCACTCTCACTTCAGTTACTATCCTGTATAACTCAATCAGTAGCTTTCTCTGTTAGAGTAGCTCCGTAACTCTCACAATCAGGTGCATGTCAAAAATCAGATTAAGGAGGTCTGTATCCTCCCTAAGATTCAGTAAGATTAGAGAAAATGTATTTTTCAGTAGTTTGACCTGTGTTTCTGATATTCACGCAAGTCTGGGACTTTGGTTTTCTAAGGAAGATTCCAGTTTACTGCTTGTCAATTGTCCCAGGAGGGTTTGAGCATGAGTAGTCACAGAAACCATACAAAGAGCAAGAGATTTAGGCATGATCTATAGATTTGACAAATAGCAAAATGTTTTGCCTTTAATGCCAAATTCAACAGACCCTACATATTCGATCAAATATTTCAGAATGATTTCTTTGTTGCCACATCACAAACCAACAGTTGAGGCCAGAAGTTTCTAGTCATGCTGCTCCCAGAATGATTTGGAAAAAGAGCAAATACATTAACCTACCGATCCACAGACTCTTGCAGGGGTAACTAGGTATGTTTTATAGTTCTCCAGGTGAGTGTTCTGAGAAGGAGAGTTTGGAAATCTCTTTAAGACTTCAAAAGTGGTCTTTGTATTCCCCCTTTAGCTCATCAGACGTTGCCTCAAAAGCACTATGTGGTTAGTCTCAACACAATTCCACTAGCACCTCCTCATCAGAGGTCTTCCCAACAGCATTCCAGAAATCCCTACTTGGAGCTCTAAGGACATAAGGAAGTAATAAAGGACCTCTGTGGATGAAGACAGAAACTTGGTTCTAGTTAGCTGATACTCTTTCATCTTTTCAATGGTCATCACAATGATTGCTTAACCAAGTCATTATTGTGACATGAGTATTTGTATGTTGTTCTGAAATCTTTCCACAGACTGTGACTCCACTGTATATACCATTGGTCTTGCCAAAAGATAACCTAATATCCTTTCTGTACAGAAGATGAAAAGCAACTGAAAGGTTAACTTTAATTACTCCACTGAGTAAATATCTTAGCTGGACACTCATATTATGAGCCATCCGCTCTTTAAATATCCTTGGAGACAGTTTTCTTTCAATTGAAAAAAGTCACCATTATGAAACTTCCCTTTTTATCATAACACAGTAGATATTTTGATGTACATCAACCAAAAAGAAAAAGAATATGTTTGCCAGTTGGGATTCTGCCCTTATTATATAAAATTGGAAGTGGAAACTGTGGCCTTGGTGAAAACACTGAAATTCCAGTAAGTGGGATTAGTCATACTTTTGTGATCCAGGGTTAGATTTCAAACAGCAAGTAAAAGTTCCCTGAGCTACCAGTGGAAGCAAACATTCTCAAATTAAAATAAGAAAGAAGGACTATACACACTTACCAGAGCCAAACAGAGCCAAACAGGGAATGAGTAACATTTGACATTTGAAAGGCTGGAACCTCAACTAACAGCTCTCTCCCAGAGGAGAAACTTCTCACCAAATAGTTGGCTCATTGTGGTATTTAGCTTTCTTTGAAACAGCAAGCCTACAGTCTCTAGGGAGAAGGAAAATGAATGTAAACCTCTCTGGCTTAACTCCTCACAGCCTGGGAACTGTTGTAATCAAGGCAAGAAGCACTGACTGCGTGTGTTTTAAGTTATCCAATGGTCAGAGAACTGGGACTGACATCAATGAGAACAGCTCGCTGACAGGCCTGGGCCCCCCTAACAGTCCCACGCACTCACCCAGTAAGTGTCTTGAGGCTTTTTGCTTCCACCATTAATAAAGGCTCACTGTTTGGGAGGTAACATCTGGACACCTTTCGTTGTTTAGTACATCTGGGCAGTTGCCATTCTAAAGGCAATAAAATCTTTCATTAAGTCAAAAAATACATAGGTAAAAAGATGAGTCAGGGATGAAAAAAACCTGCACTGTCACCCCCCTAATTCATGCAGAGATAGACAAAGAGGCAGAGAGGCAGAGAGAGAAATAGGGCAGGCCGTTAGAAGTCCTCAACACTTAAGTAAAATAATAAGATTTATTCATGTCTCATACACCTCCTAATATTTCAAAACCCAGAGTATAAAATAACTCTTGCAGTATGTTTCCTAGGTACCAGTGGCAAAACGGAGTGTTTATGTGCTTTTTTTCTAAACTACTTATGAACCCTAAATAATCTTTCGAAGTCAGAGAAGTCTCACAATTCACACCGGAAATTCAAGCTTCAATCTGCTTCTCCTAAATTCCTCCCCACAGGATGAGCAGTAACTAATACTTTCTTTAATAAATCTCTGGCCAGCTCTGCTGCTTGGCCCTGTTCTGCTCAGTCTGGTTGGCACTGTAAATAAGAAGTTAAAATGGATCTTTAAAAATTAGAGTTTAAAGATAGACTAGTTCTCCAAACTTCTTCGTGCTGCGTGTATGAATTGCCATCTTCCAGGCCTGTCACCAAGAAGATTCAGTACTTGGTCAAAGCTTAACTAAATATGCATATGGATATCCCCTGGTTTCTGCTTTGCCCTGTGTATAAATCAGAGCAGTATTGTGCACTCCAGAGGGGACAGACTCTGCCCTCCCAATTAGATCAAATTGTAAATAAAGTCATTTTCCATCTTCATGGGCTTTACTCTTAATTGTATGCAGTGAATGAACCCAGAAACCCACAGGGGGCAAGGCCCTGAGTCAGGCCCAACCAAGCCCTGGCCCATAAGAGCTCTTGTATCCATCCACAAAATAGACAGAAGGAAGTGAATTACCCACCCTATAAAACATTCTATCAGTTTCAAGGGACATAGGGGGGCCCCCGGCTTCTCCTATGCTTCTTCCTCCTCCCAACTGTCAGTCTGTAGCACTTAGTCCTCAAAGACCCTCTTGTGATTTTGCCAGGGCTGCTACAAGGAAGCACCACACAGTGGGTGACTAAAGCAACAAAAATCCATTGTCTGACAGTTCGGGAAGCTACAAGTCTGAGATCAGGTGTTTGACTGGGATGGTTCCACCTAAAGGGTCTCAGGGAAGATTGTGTTGCTAGTCTTTCTCTTATGCTTGAAGACGGCTCTCTTCTCCCTATCTCTCTTCACAATGTCCTCTGTGCACATCTCTTTGCTCAGATTTCCCCTTATTAACAGGGCACCAATCATCATAGATTAAGGCCCACCTTAATGGCCTCACATCAATTAGGCTACTTCTAAAAAATATCATCTCTCTAAATAAGGTCATATTCTAAGGTATTAGAGGATAGGGCTTTGTTGCATAAATCTGAGGGGAACAAAATTCAATCTATAACCATCTTGTATCTAGCCCTATATGGTGAATGTTACTGCCAACAAGGATGATTTGCACTCTGAAAAGCAAGGATGTCAAAGCCAGCAGACTGTGGATCATCTCATTGATACCTCTTGCAGAAGCTGACAGAATCATTCTCATAAGCATGTATTCTGTGATGTTAAAGGAAATTCATTGCAATCTAGTTGCCTATAAAACACTTTTTTAAAGTGTTTGTGGTGCATTCTCTATTGTATAATGCTATGAAATAATGCAACTAAAATCACACAGGGTAACTATCTGCAAATACAATAACTTTTTCTTCATCATCCTTTGCTGTGGTTTCACAAAGCTTAAGTCTCCAATTGTGCATTAAACACTGAGACAATAATGCAGTTTTGTAACCTTCCATCATAGGTCACAAAATCCTCTATCTTTCCTGGTTTTTACAACCATGAACTCAAAACCAGTACCATCCATATACATCCAGTCTTGCAATCTTATGGAGGGGTGTATAATGAAAGATAAAAGACAATAGACAAAGTAATATGTTCAGGGATCCAGCAAGGTCAGAACTCTTGTGGCTAAAATGAAAACTTCTCTGGATTACCTACTATTTATTTGGATACATAACATGGAGGGGGGGATAGAGAAAAGTGCAGGGAACAGCTGAGGCAAAGGATGTGAAAGTAAGGACTTGTGAAGATGAAACTAAGACATTCCAAGCAGTAAATCTTTGTTTAACGTGAGAGCTGTTTGATCTGTAAGGTTGGCAGTATTGCCCCTGAAATTTTGAGGGGGAGTCAGCACCCCAGCTGCAGTATTATCTTGCCGTCAGAGATGTCACAGTATCACAGGCCACTATAAGCCTCTACCATGACCATTGACATGGAGAGTTCTTTTTCCTCGTGCCAGCCACTGGCTCTTCAGGTAAGTCATTTAGGTCTGGGACAGATGCCTAAATTAATATAGGAAGCCAACTGATTAATTGTAAAGCCTGCTCAGCAGTGCCTCAGTGTGGTCTCCAACACCTATAAGATTGTTTTCCTAACAAAGAGCTCAATCACAACCCCGATCTGGGTCCTGGAGCCTAGCTCACTATACTTGACAATCTGATGAGGAAGGTTGAAGTTTTCTTTCATAAACCTCTTTTCTTGGGACACAACTCCATTTGATTCAGAGTAACAGGATCCACTGCCATACTTGAATAAACTGTCACCCCAACCAAAGACAGTGGCTTCCTCTCCAAAGAAAACTAGTTCAATGTAAAAGCCCAAAGCCACAGATATGGGCTCTGTTTGAAAAATGAAGAGAGCAGAAGTGCCCTAATATTTCCAGATTCACTGTACTGGAGATCATCTAGTACATAAAGCACCCAACTTTGGCTGAGCTCTTACACTACTTCTTTTAGAGTCTGCCTCCCCTGTCTAAGCCAAATCAGAAATGTAGAAAGAGATCATTCAATCAATATAAATCATACAGGATAAAAATCCTCAAATTTGTCAATTTTATATGGCTCAACCTAATTCCAGGTTTCCTTCATTGATTCAACTCTTTTGAAAATCCTGCATGAAGTGCCATTTATTACCAGGTCTCTGTCCCAAAGGTGTGTAAAGTCTATGGTAAGAGAGTTTTCAATACAATCAGGGAAAAAATACTCCCATTAATGAGAAGTGAGTTCTGGAATTATCCTTCCTCTGTAAACAGTTAAGAAGAAATAATTATTGTCAAACATTAGATATCAGGCAACAGAGAACTGTAATTCTAGAAAGAAATGAAAGGATCCTATGATAGCCCCAGATTTTGCCTGAAGGCAATTTCTGACCTGCTGAGCAAGAAGGGGAAATTCATACTGTAATCTCACTGAGTAGAGGAGACAGAGAAAAGGCTCAAGAAGCCAAGATGGCTGTCATTTGCATGACAGAATATTGAGAAAATGGAGGAATGACATTTTTAGCCTAGGAAAATTCTAGAGGGCTGGGGATTTAGCTCAGCGGCACAGTGTCTGCCTGGCAAGCTCAAGGTCATGAGTTCAATTCTTAGTACTGGGAAAAAAAAAAAAGAAAGAAAGAAAATTCTAGAATCTGTGACTAAATACAAATATTCACTTGTAGAGTATGGGACACCATGACACACATGAGTTTTAGAGAACAGAAAATAAATGTACTGAGGGTTACAAGCAGACAATTCTAGACCACACACAGATGGGGCCAGGAATACTTTTAAGTTCCCACCAGTGAGAACACATTGATGCCACAGAATACATGCGGCAGTCAGTAAAGACCACAGAAGGACCAATGTAAGAAGTGAGTTTAAAATTAGCCATTGGATAAAGACCACTTTGCATTTGCCCTTAAAAACTTTCTTGAAAGATTCAAATAAATAACTCTGGTCTATAATCTGACTAGACAAATGAGAAAAAGCAGGTGAAAAAATATGTGCTATACTCAAGAAAATATTGGTCAATAGAATTTGACATTAAAAATATTATATCTAAAATTAGAATATCACTAGAGAGAATTCATAGCAGATTAGAAACTATAGGAGAAAAGATCAGTGCTTTTGAAGACAGCCGTAGAGATGATCCAAAATAAAATGTAGAGAAAAACTACTGAAGAATAAAGTAGCAGAACCTTGGTGATCTGTAGCATAAGATTCAGAACTCTAACACAAGGACAATTGAAGGTCCAAAAGAAAGAAAAAAGAGGTAGAAAAAATATTTGAATAAATAATGGTTGAATATTCCAGTGTTGGTGAAAACCCTAACCCACAAATTTAAGAGGTCTAGAAAGCCACAACCAGGAAAAGCACAAAGAAAACCATCACACTGAAGACGGTTTGGTTAATGGCTGGCATAGCAAAGTTGGTTGAAGCCAATAATGAGGAGAAAAACCTTGGAGCTAGGGATATAGCTCAGTGGCACAGTGCCTGCCTAGCAAGCACAAGGTCCTGAGTTCAATTCCCACTACCAAAAAAAAAAAAATCTTAAAAAATAATACCAGCCTGAGGGAAAAGTCACATTAAATCCAGAAAACAAGGATAAGAATATCACAGGCTTCTATTCAGAAACTATATAAGCAGAAGACCAGCATCTTAAAGTGCTGAATGGAAAAACAAAGGATCACAGGAAATAAAAGCAAAAGTAGTCAAATGGGGCTGCACCAATCTTAAAAACTTCTGGTCACCAAAGGATACAATGAACAGATTAAAAGTAATACACAGAATGGGAAAGGGTATTTACAAATCACGTGTTTGATAAGGGGTTTACACCTAGAACTCTTATAGCTCAGCACAAGCCGAACAATTCTAGGTTTAACTTTAAAAATGTCAGCCATGCATGGTGGCATAAACCTGTAATCCCAGCACTCAGGAAGCTGAGGCAAGAGGACTGCTGTGAGTTCAAGACCAGCCTGGCCTACAAGGTGAGTTCAAGGCCAGCCTGAACTGTAGAGTGAGATCCTATCTCAAAAAGACAAAAAAAAATGTGCAAAGGACTTGAACAGCTATTTCTCCAAAGATGACATATACTTGACCAGCAAGCACATGAAAAGATATTCCTCATCACTGATCATCAGAACAATGCACATGAAAACCATAGTAAGGTATCATCTCAAACTCATTGGAACAGCTACTATGAAAACAAAAAGAAAATCTCACATATGTTGGCAAGGAGATGGAGAAGTTGGAATCCTTGTGAACCATTCGTGGTGTTGTAAACGACATGAATGCTAAGGAACAGTATGGCAGTTCCTCAGAACATAACAGAGCTAACACATGATCGAGCAATCCTGCTTCTAAGTATACATACAAGAGAATTCAAAGTGGAGTCTCAAAAAGATATTTGCATACCCAAGTTCATAGCAACACTAATCATAATAAGTAGGACGTAGAAGCAAGCCAAATGTCCCCTATTGAATGAGTGAATGAAGTGTAGTATAAACATGCCATAATATTAGGCAGCCTTAATAATGAGAGAAATCTTTTCACATCCTCTAACATGGATGACCCTGAAGGACATTGTGCTAAGTAAAAGAAGTCCAGCACAAAAAGACAAATACTCCATGACAACACTTACATGAGGTACACAAAGAATTCAAATTCATAAAAACAGAAATAGAATGGTGGTTACCAGGGACTGAAGGGAGGGTATGGAGGGGAATTGTTTACCAGGCATAGAGTTTCAGTTCTTCAAGGTGAAAACACTGTGGAGATCTGTTTCACAACAAGGTAAATATGTAATACCACTGAACTGGATACTAAAAATGAACTATGCACTTAAAAATAGTCAAGATGGTAAATCTTATAAATGTTGTTATAATAAAAAAAGAAGAAATAAATGTCAATTTAGAATTCTATGCTTGGTGAAAATATTTCTTTAATGAAGGCCAAATAAAGGGTTTTTGACATGAAACCTAAGAAAATTCTATCAACTAATCTGCACTATAAGAAACATTAAAGGATGATTGTTACACAGGAGAATCATACCATATGGAAATCTGAGTCCACACAAAGTAGTGAAATGTGATATAAACAGTAAATATATGGATAAATAAGAAAACTCTTGCTTATACTATTTCATTCATTTAAAGATAATTTATTTAAACATAAACAATAACAGCATCTTTAACATATGTAGAGATAGAAGTTATGACTACAATAGCATCAAGGATGGAAAGAGGAAGCAACAGTTTACTGTTGACAGATTCATACATTATATGTGAAGTTACATAATACTGTATTATTTTGGAGTCAACTGTGATGAGCTAAGAATGTATATTTTTAATCCCAGAGTAATTTTTCAAATGTAAAACAAAGAGGTACAGCTAGTAAGGCAATAGTGGAGAGGAAATTAAATGCTGAAAATGCTCAGTTAATCCAGAGGGAGCAAAATAAGGAAATGCATAACTGGTATACCTAAAAGCAATAACAAAATGTAATATTTTATACCAATCCTAATACCAATCAAATTAAATATAAATGACCTACACACTCCAGTTAAAAGACAGAGATTGTTAGACTAGATAGAAAAGCAAAGTTCAACTACATTGTACTAAGAAACCTCTCTATAATAATATAGATAGTATAAAATAAAAGTAGGGGAAGAGAGCTACCATAAACAAAGTGCTCGTGAGGAAGCTAGAATGTCTACATTAGTATTAGAAGGGCTGTACTGTCTCCGTGTATAACCAAGTCTTCCATCTTACTCTGTTCTATTATTATGGTTTTGCAAACTCACCTCCTTCTAGCCACACTGCTGCTTATAAGCTTTACTCGAAACTCCTTACTCTTTGGTGGATTTCACTTAGATCCAGATTTCATTCTGCTGCAGAGTCCTGGAAGGCACTTTGCTTCCAACACAGCCACATGCCTTCTTTGTTAAAAACAGACCCAGACCCAGATAAGTCAAACTCTCCATCTGTTCTTAAACTATCTTTTCTTCTCCAGACCCACTTATTAAACTCTAGGTCAAAATCCATGTGGTTTTATTTCAAAGAGCATCTAAGTGCTGCCATACCTCATAGAAGCAGAGGACTGCAAGAATTAGTTCCTGATTCCACCCCTGTGGAAACACATTGAAAGACAGAAGGCTCTGTCTTGTTCCCTGCACTGCTCCACACAGGCAAAATATGAGCAACATGTTTGGAATGAATATTCTTTCAAACTGAGTTATTTATATGCTTGTGTGCACATTGGTGAAACTGAGTTAGGTACAATCTTCTGTGCACATTGGTAATCATGCTATCCTTGTATTTGGGTGGCACTTTTTTAAAAAATGGCATTGGCCACTTTATCCTCTGATGTCCTCTGAAGCTTAAGGGCAATGGGTGATGGAGTCAGACTGCCAGAGTTCAGATGTTTATTCCCCTATCCACATCACACACTAGCTAAGCAAACCTTGGATAGTCACATAAGCTATTTAAGTTTTAACTTCATGTAAATTATCAGGAAAGTGTAACCACCCTGTGTAATTAAAGATGGCAAAATGAAACCCACAGGCATTAGAAGAAGTGCCTCAAAACACCTACAGAGTAAAAGATCAAGAGTTACAATTCCAATATCCGTTATGTGCTTTGCCATAGATAACAGAAGCACTTACATTACTGAGATGAGTACAGATTAGGCTTAAGCTTCTAAACAAGTCTGACCAAGTTACCGTTAAATTCAAAGCCATACAAGAGCTCCCTCTTCCTTCAAGATAAAAGTCAAAATTCTTAAAGGACCTAAAAGAGCCTACACCTTCCCTTTGGTGTGCCCTTGAATCCCACTACTCACACACAACCATAGGCTTCTTCACTGTCGTCCCACATGCCGGGCATGCTCATGCACAGGACTTTTCTATCTCTGCCGTCCCGGAAATGCTTTTCCCAAGTCCCACACACCTGCTCCCTGCTTCCTCCCAATGTTGAGCAAACATCCTCTTTTCCATGAGGCCTGATCTGACCATCAAAATGTAAACAATTGTGAGGCTTCTCTTTCCCCACTCAACTTTTCTTTATCCATAACTCACATCACCTATCACTTCTTGCATATTTTACTTACTTATTGCATCTATTGTTAATGGTCTTCTTTCCCTAAAAATGTAGATTTTAAGAAAGAAGGAATGTTTGTCCTTCTTTTGCAGTTTATTAACTAGTAGCTAAATGCACTAGTCCGGTCTGAAAACCTAAAAAGACCTTATGCCTGCTCAAAGATTAAACATGCTTGCCTTAGCCACCTTTTCAAGGAACCCGAACTATCAAGGCCCTAGAACTTGAAAATTAAAAACAGCAAGAAAGGTCAGAAAGCAAAAGCCCTGGTGAAATAAAAAGCGTGAAGGACATTTCCTTCTTTCAGGCGTTTAAAGTTCACACACTCACCTATAAGAATATGTGGTCAGCAATAAGGACATTTTCCTGCCAAAGAGGTTTCATACATTACTACCTCCCCGTTGTGTGAAAGCATCAAATAGTCCCCAGGCATCCTTTCTATTTATCAGAACTCCATTGTGAAGCAGCGCTTCTCTTCCTTTGTTCAGTTTTATGGGTTTAGGTCATACTCTGATTCTAAAACCAACTCCTTAGTAAGAGAAACAGGATTTAGCTTGTCAGGTGCCCACAAATGAAGGCCTCTTTTCTTCTGCTTATTTCCTTCTTAGTTGAAAGGCCTTCCCTCATCTGTGGTTAGCAGCCTCCTTGCCAAGGCAGCCTTTGTGTGGGAGTTGGGTAGTGCAGTTACTGCCAAGCTCGCCAAGAGCAGCTGTCACCCGCTGCGTGTTAAGGGCCTGTGAAGCTCAGCAGTCCCAACTGGAGAGACACCTTTGCACCTCTGTGTTTTGCTGCTTGTAACCTGGCCTTGCAGCCATACCTCCACCTACTACGAGTTATACAATTGTGCGCGCTCTCTCTCTCGCGCACACACACACACACACACACACACACACACACACACACTGTTCTTTTCCAAAGCTAGTTTGGATTTTCTTACAACTTCACAGCTGTGTGACACCAAGAGAAAGCAAAAGAACTTGAATGTTTTATACCCAACTTTTAAAGTCTAATCCAAACACTTTCTGGGCCAAGTCACGATAATTGAAAGCACACACACACACTCACACCTTAGAGTACTATACTTTTAGTTTGATGAGAGAAGTCAGAGGCTGACCCCCAAGAGCGTTCCTCGTGAAGGATGTCTAGTGGATTCTGCATGAGTCAGTGGAGTCCACGCAGTTCTTGGGCCCAACAGCCTTGAGGACTTTGTTGAGATTCGGGACACTAAGGGCTGAGCCAGCCAGGACAGATGACTCTGCAGGCACCACAGACAGCAGCACATCAAAGGGATCAGCGCCAGGGGCTAGGGCACCTTTGCCCTCGAAGCCTCCCCAGACCTGAGCCCTTTGAATCCAGTGATGCACCCATGGGGGAGGGAAGGGTAGACAGAAGGTGAGGAAGAGGACCTGAGGGATTCAAGCAGCCTCCACATCGCTCTGAAGAACAACAGATCCCTCATGACTGTAGAAGAAGTCAGTCCCTCTAACTTGCCCACGTCTTTTCTCTGTCTGTGATGACCACTGCTCCCTTTGCCAGGAAATTTTTGCCCTTTGAGATGAAAATTCATCTACAAAAACAAACAAACAAACAAACAATTGTTGAGAGCCTGGTATGTACTGGTGCGGGAGGAGCACAGCAGGACACTCTGCTCCCATGACACAGAGCTGCCGCCTAATGAGCGATTCGTTGCACATTCTGGAAAATTTGCACAAGGTTTGCAACATGAGCCTCCCACTTCTCAATTGTGTGACTTTGGAGAAATTGGCTTAATGTTTTTAAGCTTCAGTTTTCTCATCGGTAAAATGGAAAATAAAAGTATTATTTATCTCCAAGAGCTGCTGTGAGGATGGAGTCATATTCATGTCAAGTGCTTTAGAATATTGCCAGGCAAACAGCAGACATTCAATAAATGTTAGGTATTGTCAGTCTCTGTGGTCACTACTTGCTGGTTAGTGTACAAAGTGTTGGGTGTGGAGTAGGGAACCAAACACAGGGTCCCTGGTCTCATGAGACTTATGTTTTACAGGGGGTAACAGAAAATAGACACATAAATAAGAAAGTGTAAAATAAATTAGGTGGGAACAAATACTATAGACAAAATAAAGGAAGTGAAGTTGTACTGCGACAGAAATAAGACTAATGCAAAGGAAAGCAACTACCCTTCTCTAACACAGCAGACTCCCTAACCTCAAAAACACAGAGTAGAATCCTCTCAATCAGCTCCCTTTGTTCACACAGAAGAAAATAACTGTCTTGAAGGCATCTCTGCTGAATCTTAGGGACCCCTGAGAGCTGGAACAAATGGCTTTGTTTATTTCCAGAGATCACTACCACTGGTGTTATTCAGCATCTTCATAAACCTACTGTGTTTCCTGGCTACTTCAAGGCACTCTCGTTAAAAAGCATTTCACCACAGCAACTGCCTGGCAAGGTCCTGAGTTCAATTCCAGGTATGCACCACCCCCACCCCCACCCCCCCGCCAAAAAAGAGCATCTCATGCAACATACAGTTGTTACAGGGAGTAACTCCCAACCTTTCAGATGTCAAATGTTCCAAGCTTGTGTTTCCTGGTACAGAAAACTGAGGAAAAGGAGGTGATGAGTAGGGAAGGTTTATTAAGAGAAACTTCCAGAAAGGCAGGAGGGGTCCTGAAGGTGGGTTGCTGCTGAGGCTCTTTGTCTAGGTAGGGAGGGGTTATACAGTAAAATCACATCACAGGTGTTATGGTTTGTGTCTGGATGTCCCCCCAAGCTTCATGCAATCATGCGGTGGGCCTATAGAGATTGTGATTGATTCATGGTCCAATGCTGGGATTATGGGTGTGAGTGGTACACCCGTCCTGGGGCAGGGAGCCTATATACAATAAAAGAGAGGGAAAAAGTCTTGCTCCTTGCTGCTCCTCCCCCTTTTCTCTTGCTGCTTTTGCTGTTTTTCACTGCCATGAACTGCTGCCCTCTGCCATGTGCCACTCTGCCTTGGAGCCAGTATGGACTGAAACCTCCACAACTGTGAGCTAAATAAACCCTTCCTTCCTTAATTTTGGGTGTTGGGTATATTTGTCCCAGCAATGAGAGAAGAGTAACTAAGACAGCAACTTACCTTGGGTCAATTATAATCCATCTATAGGGTTCCAATAGAAAAACAAGTACATATGCCATAGAGATCCAATAGAAAGCAAGGGTACATAGCACAGAGAGGAATGAAAGCATTTCTGGAAGGGGCAGGAGCAACAGCCAGTGTTCCGGTCTTCTATCTGCATGTTCATTACATTGATTCTCCAGGTTGGTTACACTTTTTAGGTGCAGCTTTGAGCTCTTGTTTGCCTCTGGGGAGGCTCGCAGGCCTAACCATCTATCTCCATCTTGGGGCCGGTATCTCACCTCAGCCCTGGACCACAGAGCTGCTTTGCCCTATCTCTATTCTGACTCCATCTTGGGCCTGGTCCCTTTCTAATCGCCTATCAGTCACTACCTAGCTTAGCTCTCTGCAGTACTGTCAGTCTCAGCATGTGCTCTGTTGACTCCACTGACGACATAGGCTCTGAAGAACACCAGGATCAGTGAGTGTCCTCTGCACCATGGAGCCACATGCCATGAATAGACATGAGAGTGTAGCGTCTCCCTGACTTTGCAAGAAGCAGCATGCAGAGCAGATTCAATCAAAGAAAACACTGGCAAGATGGTGCAATGCACATGTCATTGCTCTTACAGATATAATCCCCAGAGAGTACCTTCAAGTGGCTTCTAAAATTGAATTAATTACTCACTGAGAACCTCAGAGGCAAGAAATCCTGATCATAGTTTCATTTAACCTCATCACCTACTGTTTGCTCTGAGTGTGTTTAAAGCCATAATCACATCTCCCGTGATGGAGGCTTTGGGTTGGCTTGTGGCCACATGTGGAAATTATTATAGACCTACATCAAATGTAACTGGCCATGGAAGAAACTGATGTCATCTCCCTAGAATGCACCCATGTTGACCCTCTGGGCATTTAACATTTAAATCTATAGAGAGCCCTCAAAAAAATATATATCCTTAAGGAGCCACAAGGAAAAAATACTGTAGTTACTTATTCCTTGATGTAACACTTTGATGCTATTGCTTATCATTAAAAGCAGAAATTACAAAACAAAAGCATCTATTGATTTGCAATATTACCTTGGTCCAAAGAGGGTGTTCTTCTGCTTTATCCATGCAAGAACAGTGAGAGAAATTTTCAACATCTGTGAAAACCTGAGAATCTGAAGTTCCCTCTGGTCTACAGGACTCTGAGAGAGCAAGTCACTTTCCCACCTTGGTCCAGCTACAGAATGCTCCTCAAGGCAGCAGTGCCCTGGGGAGTGACCATCAGTGGGCTCTGGGGCTGGGGACTGTGAGAAATTGGGATTGGTTGGGAAAGAATCTCAGCAACTGGTTGCTCCCTATGTTCCTTAGCACCTCTGAAGGCCTTACAGCATTAAACATAAGATTAAAAGTACCACTGTCAGCAGAGAGAGAGACTTGGTGATAGCAAGGCAAAAGTTTCCTGTTTTATTACCTTTCAGGTCATATTTTATTACCTTTTTCACTGAGCCTTGCAAGGCACACACCCTCCCCCTTGCCTACTAGACCAGCTACCAAGGCTGTGCTGGGCAGCAGTAGGTCCAAGAGGCAAGACCTCTAGCTCTGGAGCCAGATTGCCCAGGCACACACCCAGCTCCACCATGTGTGACCATGAACCATGCATTGTACCTCTCTGCCTCCATTTCCTCCTCTGATAACATGAGCTAACAAGATCTCAGAGTACATTCCTAAGGATTATGCATTTTATAACATATGAAGTACTTAACATAGTATCTGAAGCATAATATGGTATTATGGTTTGTGTCTAGATGTTCCCCTAAAGCCTCATGCAGTTTTAGATGGGGTTTTTTCAGAGGTGGTTGAAACTAGAGTGTGTGATGCTGGGATTAAGGGCGTATGATTACTAATCAGCCACTGATTGGTTTGGCACTCCCCCAAGCCCAGTAATCTGGACAAGATATAAGGGGCAGAAAGATGCTTGTTACTTTCATTGTCTTCCACCACCATGAACAGTTGCCCCTCTGCCATGTGCCACCCTGCCTTGGAGCCAGCCTATTATGAACTGAAACCTCTATAAACTGCGAGCCGAATAAACCTTTTCCCCTTTAACTTTGGGTGTTTGGTATTTTCTCTCAGCTAAGAGAGAAAAGTAACTAAGACATATGACTTCTACTATTATTGCATCGAACATAAGTAGTAAATACAATTATTTCCATTTTGCGGATGAGAAAACCAAGGTATAGTGGGAAGTACCTCTCCTAGTCCTAACCAGCAGAGCCAAGACTCTAAAGCTTTCTCTGCTCACCATCTGGTACGCAACTCCCTTCTACTGACCATGCAGCCTGCAGCTTTGCACAAGACACAATTATGAAAGACCTTGAATGGATATGCAAGATATTGAAGCTGGTCTCTGTAGAGGTGGACCACAGACTGGGCTCTTTGAAGATCACGCTGGCTACTTTTGTGAACTGGTGGCTATCACAGTACCTAGGACTATGTAGATTCCAAAAAAGCATTTGCCAACAATGAGTGCAAAATGAACAATTGCCTATAATGCAGAATTTTA